ACGACAGATAACCCGCTTACCTCCTGCAGCGACTCTCTCACGTGATATACTAAGCCCGCCGACGAACGAAGCACACGGAATAATACTAGTTGTGGGGCATTAAAACCGTAACCGGATCAGGATTTCATTTATATACATGGCCATTATGTTTCATTAAACATTTGCTTCTGAGAAATATGCCAAATAACATATTAAAAGCAAATAAAAAATATAAGAAATACTTACCATATACATAAATATGACTGATAAACTAAATAACATACCTATATTATCGACATATATAACAGCCATCGACATATATATCAGCACTATATACATATATATACATGTATATAATATATCAGAGCAAAAACATATAACTTTACAAAAACCAAGTACATCGAAATCTACTAGATAGAAATAGCGTTCAGCGATTGCATGGATGAATTATATCGCTAGGATTTGCCATTTACCTTAAAAATATATTACAGAACTTTTCCTATTTTCACGTGTTGCGTATCCATCCACTGTACCATTCCTTTCAAATTAATTTTCCCTTACATTACAAATTACGAAAGAGATCATATGTTGATAAGCCGTGAAATGTACCATCGTACGGTTTCAAACTACATTTACTTTCACTTACGCTGTAAACCAATGCGTGAAATATGGTGTTTCAATCAGGACTTCCCCAGCTTTAGCCGTGTCAAATTTTAAAAACACTTATATATCACACCACACACGGCATTATATATTACCCATTTATTCAGCTGCCTTTTTCATAACTCGCACGAAGCGTTTCAAGTAAAAGACAATCTTTCATTTCATACGTACATTTTCTGTGCCGTAATAGTTAAGATCACCATATATCACTTGCCTTCGAACCCTTTAGGAAGATTTAATTTCTTTAAAACATAGCGCAGGTACTACTGCTACCATATATAAGTGTCACCTCTCACTATATCTTCGCTTTCAGAATGCATCATTATTTCACCACGCAGCGACGGTTGCTGTCATGGCAACCATGATTTCGTATTTCCTGACTACCTCCTTCGACCTTCGGTCGTCCATTTCAACACATACACCCTTCAACGTTTAACATCACATTATGGCATTATTGATCGTCCATTAGTAATTCTTTTTCAATGTTCACACGCGGACGTATGTTCATACTACTCCTCTTATTTCCAAGTGTCGGATGTACCTCCGGTACTGTTATTTATTACCCCTTGCATCGACCGTTGTGCAGCACGTTACCCTGTAGAGAAGCAGACCCAAACAGATAAGTGGGACTAATACAACTAAGTCCCTTAATGATCTTAAACGTCTCTATCAAATCTGTAGCGCCCAAAAAGATAACTCTTATCTTTCGTGTACAATTTACTTGTTGACCGATTGTACATTACTCCTTCTTGTTTTAATCTTACAACCGGCTCGACACACAACTGCCTTGTAAGTTCCCGCGCTCACGTGTACGCTCTTGCCTCGCTTCATCCGTCCGTTTCTTGTTGTAGTCCCATCGAATACAGTCCGCTGTGTCCGACTCAAATTGCCTTCTGATATCCGCGCTTAATTCCGCGCACCGTCTCGGACTAGTGTTAACTAGTCCTACAAATTGGTGACCCCGATTCGCACGCGCGAATTCAACATTTTTTCTCGTTTGTATTTTTTGGTGAGTTCGTTCCTTTTTCTCGATTATATACCTATATTCATTTGTTTCTTGCGTAATTTTGGTACTTTTATCGTATTTTTTCGTTCTTTACCTTTCGACTCACATTTCGAGAGTTGCATCTGAGTCGTTTCACAGCGTAACCATGCTTCCTTTGGCTGTTCCAAGTTTCATGGAACACAGTCCAGAAGTTTGGTTTAAGATATTCGAGATCGAGCTAGAAAATAAGGGCATAACGGCGGACCGTCCAAGGTACAATCAGCTCGTCCCACGCCTTCCTCCGTCGGTAGTGACGCTGATTGAGGACA